GGAATTCACACTCTTCCCCCTCAAAGGCAATAGTTTGCAGTGTCCCCAGGTGCTGTATCCTCTGGGTGTTTGTCCTGCTGGGCTTCCCTGTGATGAGAGACTGCCATGGCTGTCCATCAATCCTAAAGGTCCACAAGTCCTAATATGTGAGGATGGCAGGGGTGGCAGAAGATACTCTAGAGGCGCAGTTGTGGGTTCTGGGTTCCACAGTGTTGCCTCTGTGACTGATTTGAACTGTGACATGGGGCAACTACAAAATTTATCTCTCTTTGTTACCTCTATTAAAATGGGCACAATGATCTCAAAGCTGAGTTTCTCAAGAAAGACAAGGTGGAGTCAGGGTTAAGGGCATGAACTCCCAAATTCCACTGTCTGGTCTCAAACCGGGCTCCTCCACCTTCCCTGTGAAGCATCCCTGATGACTATAATGAATGCTTCCCCTCTGTGCTGCCACCATACTCAACCTGCGAAGTATACGAATGTGTTTCTCTCTGGATAGTTCCTTGTGAGCGGGGAATATGTCCCCTTCATGTCTGTGTCACTACCTCTAACACCCGCCCCTACATACTGAGCATGGATCATTAGAGGGATGGATGGAGTTGGTCAATACATGAGGTACAATTGAATTGGATGAACGCATGAATAGATGGGTGAAAACTAGTGGATAGGTGATAACTGGATTGTTGGTTTTGGAGGAATGGGTGATGGAGTGAAGATATAAGGTGGCTGGATGATCCATGAATGGTGGATAGATTGAAAAGAGACAAATAAAAAGTTATGAACAGGTTGATATAGATTGATTAAAATATATCAGTGAATTGGATGAATTAGTGAACAGATAGATGGATAAGAAGATCATAGTAGATGGATTAATGATTGAGTGGCAGATGACTATCCTAGAATGACAACTGAGTCAGAGTCTCAGAAAATCTAGAAAACTGGACCACCACCAGGTTTAATACAGACAGTTTCTAAGTCAACCAAGATAAATTGTGACATCTTTCTGAAAATCTTTGAGCTTAATATCTCCATCCTCCAAATTCAGGATGATGACGTCCCATGGGAATATTTGTAATGTTTAGTTTCTCAAAAATACATCTGAAAACAAGAACTGCAAAATATTAAATCTTGGTCAAATATTATATTTGGTCAATTCTTTATCATGCTATTTTTGGACTTTTCTTTTTTTTACATTTGTGCCATTTTACAATAAAAAAGGACAAATTAGATTCCTCATTCAGATACTGACACTCCTGAGAGTTGAGAAGTTGTCACAGGTAACTGTCCCAGGGAAAGAGGACAGTTGAAATGAAGAAGTCTGGGACCAAGTTTACAGAGTTTGAGCTACAGGAACAGGCACACCTACCGTTTTCAATGTCGTATCCAAGAGCTCCTCTTCCGTCTTCTGTCGCAGGCAGTGAACCATGACAGCTGAGGTGGTGGTTTGACACCCAGCAGCGATGGCAAATTTCTGCAAAGATCACAGGCAGTGGTAGAGTTCAAGAGCGACGTCCCGCACCTTCATCAACGTGGAAAGTGGCGTTCTACCCCAAGCCCACCTTGTACAAGTGGCAGGGGGCAGCAGAAGATACTGTAGACCCGTGGGTGTGGGTTCCAGGTCCCACAGAGTGTTGCCTCTCTTACTAATCTCAATTGTAACATGGGTCAATTATGTAATCTCTCATCTCTGCTACCTTACCTCCATTGCAATGGACATAATGATCTCAAGCTGAATGTGTCAAGAAAGACGAGGTGGAACTGAGGTACAGAGCATGGAATCCTGAATTTCCTTGTCTGCCTTCAAATCCTGGCTGCTCCACTTACCAGCCATTAGGCCGCAGGCAGTCCACCTGATTTCTTTGAGTCTTGGTTTCTCCACCCACAGATGGGAATAATGACTGCACCTACCTCATGAGTTAATACATGTGGGAGAGTGCCATGTCTCCCACACAATAAACACGTGCAGAATTGCAGGAGGCCTAGATAAGACGATTCACACAGAGGCACTTCAGAAGGTAGCAAATGTGCTTTAAAGGTGAGTTCTAAAGATAAACACGATGTCGTCCCTTGTAAGACATAGTCGGGGTTTCTCAGCTGAGTGAGGCGTCTGTGGCACAGCCAGGAGTTTCCAGCAGCACATTTGTGTACTAGAGTCCCAAGCAGTAATCAAGTATGACTCTTTAGGGCACAGGTTGGCGATGTGCCCATCAAAGGCCTAATAGTAAATATTTGAGGCTTTGTGGGCCACGTGGTCTCTGCTGCAACTTCAACACTGCTGTTGACATGAAACACAGCCATAGACATGAGGTAAATGAATGGGTGTCACTGTGTTCAAAGAAAACTTTATGGACACTGAAATTTGAATTTCATGTAATTTTATGGTTCATGACATATTATTCTTCTTTTGATTCTTTTCATTAAATATTATTCTTCTTTTGATTCCTTTCAATCATCAAAAAAATTTTTAAATAAACATCCTTAGCACAAGGGCCATGCAGGCATAGATCCAGATGTGGCCATGAGTGATGGTCTGTTCACCTTTGTCCTAAGTCAAGCCACAGAGCAACACCAATTAATGCACCAAGAACCTCTTTCCATCTTTAAAAAAATGTAAAAAATGTAAAAATAAAATAACTGTCTTGGGGAGA